GACAGGGTCAAAAGTAAGTTGACCCCTGACAGAATGTACAATTATTATAAGAGCACTGTGTCCGAGCAGCTGCTGGAACCCCACTGGCTCCGCACTGGGCTTCCAAGAGTCAGAATATGAATAATCAACTCAAGATTGTTTTCTCCACCCCTCTCAGCCCCCACCTCCCCTCTCCAACCTTCTCCTCCTGTTTTGGGCAAGTCCTATTATATTTCTACAGGAAGAAGCATAGCCCTCCCTAGCAGCTGCAATAATTGTGTTCCTATTGTGACCAAGACCTCCTCCTGGCCACCCCCTACAAGTGGCCATTGTGAGTGGAGAGTCAGTGATTACACGCTCTGCCTGATGCTTTGGGGGACCCAGCTGCCTAAGTGCTGACACACGAGCATGCGTGCGGAAGGCCTGGAAAGGGGCTAGTGGAGGTAGAGGGGGGAGGTGGGGAAACCACGTCTGTGAGATGGGACTCTGACATGCCAGACCTTTTGCATAAGTCAAGCCCAGAACAAATGAGTTTTTATCAGGCCCCAGTGATGAGGGGTCTCATCTCTCTTTGAAGTAAAGCTGAGCATGGGGCCTAGCAGCTTTTCCTCTTTGGACCAAGCAAACATCCTTCTTTTGATATGCTACATGCTCATTATCTCTGCCCCATTTAATGATTTTTGATTGAAGGGTGGCGGCTGGGATGCCAAGAGGATCGTTAGAGAGGCTCCATCCAGCCAAGCCCGTAAGAAAGGCTTTCCTTGTGCCTGGGCCTAAATTCGGAATTTCTTAACAGTGTGTGCTTGTTCTTAGAGGCAGATAAGGGCTGAGCGTGAAATTCTTAATTAAGCAATAAATAGAGAGTGGGGTGTCAGCAGATGTAGCCAGTAGCCATGGCAACGGGAATCACATGGCAAGAGAGCTGAGGCACCATGGAGGCCTCGGGCCTGGGCCTGACTGACAGCTGAAGAATCCTACAAAGCTTGTAAACCAGATTAATTAGCTGACTAATTATTTCATAGCGTTAATGTAACTAAAAAATAAAAATAGTTCACCATGAACTGAAACATCCCTGGAAAAAACATCAGGGAAAGAGGCAGTGGGAAACTGGCACTGGAAGGCAAGAGACATGAGCTGCCAGTGGATCCAATTGCATGAACGGAAAAATGGGCTTGCTGGCTTTGACTCCTGACTTTGCAAATATAAAAGAACACTTGTTCTACAGCCACACTCATTCCCAAGCATAGCACAGAAACTACAGTTGGCAACTGCCTTTCATAATAGTTTGTCACATCAAATATTGCTCCTGCTGGGTCCTAACACAAACTATAGCATACAAGTACATTATTTGCGGTCTGTTTCATAAGTAGCTTCTTGGGCAAAATTCTCAGTGGCTTTAGGAAGGCAACCTGAACCAAACTCCTGAAAAGATATTTTTAAATAAGTGAGGCTATCTTATTTTGTGGATAAGAATTGCTTAAGTGGGAACAATCATGGGAACAATATATCATATATGTCATATCATCATGGACCTCAGTTATCTCACAAAGACTAGTAAAAAATATATAAGGGGACCCTTTCAGAAAGGTCATGACGTGCACACTGCGTTAATGACGCATGATATTGTTAATCTTCCAAGAAAACAGAAAAATTCTAGAGAAATTGTTCATTGAAAAAATTTTTAGTGAAGTTACATAAGTGCTAATCACACTTTAATATGTTTGGGTGTTTCGTACCACAGTTCCAAGAGACAAGTGAATATTCTTAACCTCGTTGTACAAATGAAGACATTGAGGCATGGAGCAATGAAAATGCCATGCCTCATGTAAAATAGCCAGCTAGCCACTGATTAAAACCCTAAGCCCCAAGCTCTGGTCATAAGCTTTCCAACAAACCTGCACTCCATAAAGACATTTGCTGGTAAAAGACAAAACTTGCCTTGATGGAGAAGAGAAAAGCAAGAGTCAAAACATATTACATGCGCAGGATTTTTTTCTTTGTTGCTGGGAATCAGTGAAAAGTTTTCTCCCACAACCCTGCCTAGCACCCCCCTACCCCCATCCTTTTTGGTCAGTGTTCAATGATTATTTAGTGGGCAGCACACTCTAGTGGAGAGATACACAGCCAGGAGCTAGAATGCCTGGGTTCTGATCTCTTCCACAGTCAGCTGGGTTTAAGATTAGTCAGGTATCTTAAATCACACATGAAGCAGCCAAATGGAGGAAATTAATGTAATTGTGATTTTTTAAAAAGCTTCCTATCCTGGGGGATGTGGTAAGATTATGAACAAACAATACAAAAGATGGTCCACTTAGAAGTGGTCAACAAATGAATGAAATCCAGCCAGTTGTCAGTGAAGCAGCACTCTGAATGAAATGCCAGCCAAGAAAAGGAGCAGCACCCCCTGGAAGTCTGATGAAACGCTGTGGACCTGAAAGAGGTCAAGCAGTTTCCTGCGATAGAATGAAACTTCTGTATACACAACTCCCCCCATGTTTTTTCATCCCAGAAATATGCCCACGTGGACTGTGATGTCTTGACTTACACTCTCTTCTTAGATTCAATGCATGTTATTTTATATTTTTATATAAAAATTACATAACATGCATTACCCAATCCCGGTCCTATAAAGTCACATGGTCTGGGAAAAAAATTAAGTGAAAGTAACAATCTAATCAATATGTAAAATGCATGGCACAGGATTGCAACTCCACTTCTCAGGGTCTTATTGGGGTACTAGCTACAACTAGCTCGGTGCCATTATGGTGTTGGGGAATGCAGGCAGGTCTATGGAAAACAGGGTAGCCTAATCACCACCTTCCTATAGATATTGTAAACTTTAAACAGAGGATATCCAAAAGTATAAACAGATCTACACCACCTAATGCAGTTTCATGGGGCACCACCATGGAGCAGCAGTACGAGCCTCAGTTCCTCCCGAGTCCCCATATCCTTACTGTGCCAGCCCAGAAATGGGAACAGAATTGGCTCTGGTTACTTAGCTACCCCATACACTCAGAGGATACAGAAGGCATCAGTAACCATAGAATCTATTACTGGAAATTCTCATCAAGGACCAAGGGTCTCCAAGTTTATTAAACATTCAATCAATCTTCTATGACTTCCTGTTCCTTTTCCAACTTACATTCGAAGATGGAAATACTAGGACATTCTGATACAAAGAATTTTTAAAAATTAGTAAAGCCTATCTACCTGATAAAAATATTTTACATTGAAATATTTGCCTACATCATATATACGCACATATACATACAGATGTACATCTACATATAAGTATATGTGCACATACAGCTACTTACACAGATTGCATTTAAACCACAAATGTGTATATAAAGTCTAATAGTATAACTTGCTATTAATTCAGTTAATATTGCTTACCAAAGGGAAAGACAATTTGTCACTGCATCATTTGATTTTTTTTTACTTTTTGCCATGAATGTTCCTTTATCATGTTTGGCTATGTGAGTATTCAAATTATCCAGTAGTTCATGAATGAAATCTGACCAATGGACAAGACAGGCTCTTCAGGAGCATGCTAAGTAATAGGAAGACGGCAATTAAAATTAAAATAGTGTTCCAGAATATATATCAAGTGACTAGTCGTAAAGTTAATGGCAACTATTTGCTTTTAATGGCTGTATTTGGTTCTAGTGGTAAAACAGTCTCAGGGATCTCTGTCCATCCCAAGTTTTTATAGTTTTGGCTTACATTTATGGATGGATTAAATCGGAAATAAAATTTGAATGGTACAATTTGGTGCAAATAAAATATACAACAATCCATTTAGCAGAGACTTAAAAAATGCCAGCAAAGCACCAGACTCTACTCTCTAGTGCTATTAAAATTTAACAGTCCCAGGTCTCAAATGTAGATCACACTCCATTGACATGGTCAGGCACAAGTGAGACAGACAAGAAACTCAGGATAAGTGCCCAGCCATGGAAATCCTTATGGCCAAGTCTGGCTTGTAGCGGGGGTTGGGACTTGCTATGTTGATAAGGTCCCCTGAATGTAACCAGATCTAGAAGGACCAATTTATTTAAAAAATTGTCATTCTAGAGCCCTTTTTGCCATATTCTCTTTCCTATAGACCAATATAAAAAGTGGTTTTGCAGTGAGCTGAGGTTGGTACAAGCGGACACTGCAGTACTTAGAGTGACCAGCGCTGACATGGTATGGAAAAGGGATGCGAGATAAACTCCAGGAAGTCAAAAGAAATGGATAATCCTGACCCTCACATTGTGATCCTGTGAAACATGCACAATAAGAAGGTAAGAAAATCCTTTTACCTTCTGTTACTCTGCAATCACAATAGGGTTCTCGGTCCTATAAAATGAGGTTCCTGGTTCCTTCATCCTGATGCTAATCCTCACACAAAACAGACACACACACAGCCCATGCCCGAGACCTCAGATCAGCCCCCCATGCCATCTCACCTGCCTGATCTCAGATTCCTTCCCCAAGATTTTCCTTCTCACTTTCCACACTAACTTTGATTTTCATTCAGCCTCTTTCTGTATCTGTCACCATATACCCTCTGCCGTCTCTTGTATCTGTGGCCATAATCGGCCATCCTATCTTGACATGTGCAATCGTTTTTCTAAAAATGCTAAAACTGCCCTAAATGAATTAAAAATATTAATAACCGGCAATGTTTATTAAGCACTTGCTGTGGGTTAGGCACTCTGCTAAAGAGTTTTAGATGTTACTCTTTATTGAATTTCCTATCCTTCAAGTCAGGTCCCATTATTAACCCATCTTACAGATGAGCAGGCCGAGATTTAGAGAGAAAGAGTACCTCTTAGTGTCCCCTAGCTAGTAAGTGTTGAAGCTGGGATTTAAATCCAGGCCATCTGATCTCAGAGCCCACTCACTTAACCATAACACACAGCTGTCCCCTCCAGTTCCTCGTCACTTCATAACACAAATGTCTGGAATTCAGAGTAAATGGTGGCTTCTGACTATGTGTCCTCGAAACACTCATCCAATCGGATACTTACCCAGATAAGTGAGTTGCCTCAACTGGCTGTTGAAGAACCAGTCACAGCCTTGGTCCTGACCAGGTGACGGAAGAGACGGAAGGGGCCGACCCACTCGACTCCTGCACCTTATGAGGATATCAGGGTAAGGCGGCACATCTGTGTGCACCAGCAGGAGGTAATTCCCAGGAGCAAAGTTGTCAAATGTTGCTGAGTACTTGAAGTGAGAAAAAAGCACAACAGGCTCATTTAGTAAGGAAGCCCCCCACCCTGAAAAAGAAAGAATGCAGGAGTAGTTTAGAAATAGAACAGTTCGGGGCCAACCCCATGGCTCAATCGGGAGAGTGCGGTGCTGGGATCGCAGAGGCACTGGAAGTGCCAAGGCCGTGGGTTCTGATCCTATATAGGGATGGCCGGTGCACTCACTGGCTGAGCGCGGTGTGGGTGACACCACGCCAAGGGTTGCCGATCCCCTTACCGGTCACAAAAAAAAAAAAAAAAAAAAAGAAAGAAAAAGAAATAGACAGTTCAGACCCAGACTGTACTCTTCTTGTGGGGAATGGGCTTACTTAAATTCATTCCATAAAAATTCATAACTATAGCTACAAAATCATAGAATGCAAAGACTGTAGTATGTCATAAGTTTCTTCCTGTTTAACAGTCTTAATTAACAGAGGAGGAAATCCCAGGCCCAGACAAGTGAATTGATTTGTTTGGGGTCAAACATCTAGAAGAGACAGGGCCAGGTCTAGAAGTCCTTTCCAATTTTTCCCACAACTGGAGGAGGCAGGCAGTGATAGGAGTGCCACCCATTTACACTGTTGGAGCATTTGCTGCACAATCAGGCACTGTTCATTAGTCATTCAGTCCTCAAAAGACCCCCTGTGGTTGTTATGATTACTACCACATTCTACATTTGAAGAAACTGAGGTAGGCAAGGTTCAGTAACTTGCCCCATATCACAAAGCAGGACATAAGCCAGGGTGTCCGCATTCACAATCACATCCTACTGCCTTCACTTTATACAAATCCCACAGAATGTGCTTATGGGAGCTTCAGGAAAAAGAAAGAGAGCCGTGGTGAGAAAATCAAAAGAGGTTCTTGTTCTGAATTTCGTATAACTGTGGCACACCTAAAGCAGCTTCTATCTCTGTAAGATCTGCTCTCATGATTAGGGAGACTGTCTATTGTGAGACAGGAAAAAAGAAATGTGTTAAAAGGAAGAAAAGAAGCTTGAGAAATCTACTGGATTGCTTTAAAGGAAAAAAAAAAGAAAAAAGAAACCAGGAAATGCACCCATTTGGATATCCCTATCTTCATCCCCCTTAACCATTAGACTCCTTCTCCCCAACCCAGCCTGGGGACTCATTCAGACCTCTATTTGCAAGTTAATCTTTGACCACAAGGTGGCAGTATGAAATGTGTAAATGCCTTATTAAGACATTTTCTCTGGCTACAAACACTTCTAACTGGGGTAAGTTGATTTTTAACCTGTAATTTTAAAAAATGCAATTCTATAGAATACTTAGAGGCTGTTTTTCATTGAATTGATAAATTTAAATTTTCAGGCAGAACTATTCTGCATTCAGGATGAGATTTAAACAAATTATAAAATTTTCAAGTTAAAAAAAACACATGAATTTCATATTGAGGTTATGTTCATCTGGCCAAAATGATGCAGCAGTTCTCTTTATCAACATCAAATAGTGCTAATACTTGTAACCCATTTTTTCAAAGAAGGAAAGATAAGAATCCCTTATTGGGGATATAACATACCAATGAATGGTTTCCTAAATTTACCTCCAGAGATCTGTTAATCCAAGGGTTCTCAAATCTCAATGAGTAGGTCTCTTGATCCAAGAGCAGAGCCATCCAGCCATGAGGGTTAGACAATGTGTCAAATACATAATTGACAGTGGTTGTCTTATTTCTGCTGTCAGTCATGGTTAAATCATAAGAAACATCAGGAGCACTAGCTCTAGGGAGATTTAAAAAGAAGAAAAAAAAATGGTTTCCAAGGTTATTTTCCTGTTCTGGACCTAATGCATTCCTCTTCCACCAATTTTAATCATCTTTCTATTCTCTCCATGTATGCGTTAGGCCCTCTTTGCACGTCTATGGATGTTTTAGCATCCACCATGTCGGTCAAAACAGCCCATTGGGAAGTTGCTATTGGATGCTTTGCTTATTACATACACTGGCCTTGTGGGCTGCAGGAAGTAACACTCAAATCTTAGGCCACTAATAAACGTCATCATGATGAGTTCATATGCGCCAGGATTATATACCATTATTTTAACAAAAAAATGTCTACGGCAAGAATTTTGCCATAGACCAGATTTATCAACAGCAGAAAACACATTATTTTTGGTAATTAGATATTGCTATGGAGAGTGATGACAGAGACCCAAGCCCTGATGTGGCTAGACTCAAAGAATGCATGGAAGAGACCTGCAAAGGCAGCCACCGCTATTTTCCTAATTTATGTAAAGGGTTTCTAGAAGAACTGGGTTTTACCAAATGAGGAAACTGAGGCAGAGTATGGCAACAGTACTATGTGAATGTTATAAGGTAGAGCTAGATATTTATGATCCAAGATATCCTAAATTACTCTACACAGCCTATCCCAGAAAGTGATTTTTAAGACTTCCTTAGACTATAAACAGATTTAGCCAATTTGCTAAGACCCTAAAAGAGAGTCAAAGTCGACCTAAAAAAATAAAGTAAAAAAAGGGAATAAATACACATTATGACTGTCCTTCCTTTTTGGTTTAGTTTTCACAAGAATCTTTAACCGTGGCATTTTGCTGTAAGCAGATAAATTCTCGTAGAGGGAAATGAGACCAAGGAGGATGTTGGGTTTTCACAGTGAGGTGGGGCATGAGTATATCTAAAGCCAATTTGTAGTCCGGTGGCATTCTATAAAAAGGAAATTTTCTTTAGCGTTACCTGCTTGGTCACAAGTCAAATGGCTGTAAATTGGATATCTAGATCAGCATACGCTAGTGTGTGAACTTGTGCAAATTACAGATTTTAAAAGAGAGGCAACAATAGTATATACCTCATATAGTTGTTGTGAAAATTAAAGAGATAATCTACATAAAGCACTCAGGAGTTATCACCAAGCCCCACAATATCTACCTGCCTCTCGCTTAAGAACCTCAGATGTGCCAGATTTGCCATTTTGTACTACTTATTTTAATGTCTAGAGATTTATCTGGGATATTTGGCCATTTAAAAATACACCCAAAACTTTTTACGGGACAGAGCATTGATCCTGGTAATGTGGCGCTTGATATATATTTCTTGCAAGATTAAATGTGTTTGTTTCATTCCTTAATTAATGAAAAATGCTTGGGGCATTGGGGAATAAAAGAACTACTCTTTCCTGGTATTTCCCTAAGCAGCATTAATTGAACCGTTAGAAATCTTGGACGAGGGGGGAAATTCTTCTTCTCCTGGGTTTGGGATTCTTGGGGGGTTTTCTCCTGTGTGTACCAGTTCTCAAACTGGAAATAATGCACAATCCTCAGTTCATACTTTTAGAATCAGGATGAACATGATGGTCATCTGCTCCAACTTCCATTCCATTGCAGGAATTGCCCCATGATATTTCACCTTGCCCCTTCTTCCAGTTACAGGAGGTTCACATCCTCAAAGAGAAGACCATTTCACTTGTGGAATTTATTTTTATGTTGTAATCTTTGGAAAAGCTTTAGAATGCTAAAATTTCTTCCTTATATTTTCTAGCCACCTTCTCTCAATTTTGGCTCTCTCATCATGGCTCTCTCTTCCCCTAACTGAAACCATGAGTCCCATAGTCCCAGGAGACTGTCTAGCACCATGTGACTCAAATAATATATTTAACAAATAAAAATAAGCTTCTGGAAATAAATGTAAGACAAAAGTGATAAGAAGAGATGAGTTGAAACTAAGAAATATTAGAGGTAGATAAGTCGGCTGCAGTAGGTACCATGGTCAGTGTATAAAATGGGATTCCCCACAGTCCAGAGAATGATTCTAAATGTTTCAGGTTCTGAAAGTGCATCTTTTCAGCTTTCAGAGAGGTATATGGGCTCTGGACAAGACCTAAATCCAGGATAAATCAGAATTTCCAGTTAATGATTTACAGTGAGAAATAAAACTGCCTTTCACATAGTGGGAGTTCAATAAACATTTGTTGAATGAATAAACAAGTGTTAAATGCACCAAAATACTCCAAATGGCTACTTAATAATATTTCTCCCCAATAGGGAAGTCTACACAGAAAAACCACATGAGTGTCTGGAGATTTCCTATAAACTGATAAGCAATTGATCATAAGTTACTAAAGCTTGATACAGTCAATCCCACATCAATAGGATATTTGCCAAAAGGATGTAACCACTTACATTTATTGGTTAGAAAACCTCTCCTGAGCACATATATGCAATACACGCTAATAGTGGGCCCTGGTTTAGGAATATGCTGAGTTCCTTAAGAACCTGTAATTCTTCTACCCTAGTCAAGTGCTCTCAATTAAACCACTTTACAAATAGTTTTATTTTAACTATAGACCAAAAGAAGAACTCTGTTTGTTCAAGTGCATCCATCTGTTCACATTTAGTTCCTCCTGCCTTACCAGCCTATACTTTGTCATTCTTTTCTTAGCTATCATACATACCACCTTGACAATTATAAAATATTACCTCAATATGCTACAATACAATCAACTGGGTATATATTTTCAGAAACTTTTAATTCTACCAATGTGGCCACAAGAATTTCCCTGGTCACCTTGCTGGGACTTTATTATTTCTCAAATTTCCATCAATACTTCATTTATAAATCAATTTTCAGAATGTATTCCTTTTGATTCAGTCTCTATAGACTGTAATTTCAATTTTTGAAGGGACTTTTTTTCAGACCTTCTCCCCAGTTTTTGAAGGCCCTCAAAAATATGACTCCACCTTCAAATATTGTCAAACCATTAAATGCTAGCATTAATTGGGCTCTATTTGTCTTTGGGATCTTTGTAACTTCCTTCTGATGTTCTCCTTCCAGTCACCATCCAATAAGCTGGTGCTAACCCCATGGTCAACCAGAGCCCCACTACAGCACAATGTGATCCTGAAGTACCCACCTCATCCCCTACATGTGCTGCCCATCGTCTCAGAGCCCTGATCCTATCAAGCTACCCTCATTCATCCCAACCAAGGTTTATTTGGGATGCAATTTCTCTGGTACTCATATGCAGCACCAGATTTCTGTAGTGTGATACAGGTAGAGACGGAGGTTATCAAATATACCATTTCACAGCTGGTAGTGAAAGGGTCATCGAGTGCACTCTGAAAAGCAAATAAAAATGTAAAAGACCCATCTCCCAGTAGGCAAGATGCCTTGAACTGACCGTCACCGGGGGCCAAAAATTCAAAGTCAGATCAGCTCCTATTCTTCTAGGCCAAATGCCAGCACTGACAGTGATGGGCTCTTCTGAAAAGCACCGAAAGAACATCAAGCTTCGAAGAACACCAGGAAGAGAATTTACCAACCATAATTACTACAATTTTCACTTGCCCTAAATAGCCACCAATTTCCCCGTGCCCTAAATAGCCACCAATCTCCCTCTCTTTACTGTTAATGAAGCAAAGGAGCACAAAAGTATTTCTAATTTGGAGGAGCCAAGGGAGTCTGCATGGGCCATTAGCAGCAGAGAGCTTCATTACTAGGGGAAGAAGTCTCTCCCTGAACTTCTCATGGCTTTATGTGCAAGAAATCAGGAGGCAACCAGTTCATTTTAAATGTTAACCCTTACCTCTGCATAAGCTACGGCTCCTGTGTATGATCGAAAAGACAAAAGGACTATAAGCCTTACATGTTGCTTTTCCTTTTTATGGGATGCCTTGATTATCTTCTTTTTTTTTTAAGCAGCCAAACCTGTTTTTAATTAAGAGATATGTTCCTTTAGAAGTATAACACTATCACTTCATAAAATTTCCCTGCCAAAGTACCAATTTACCATACTAGTTGCTTAAACAGTTATGTGATTTAGTGGCCATGTACTGTGCAGAACTGTCGAATGTATACTGCCCACAAAGGATTTGTTAGGCAATCAACAATACCAATGAGAACAAATATTAACTCCCTGGTTTGTGTTTGCCATTAGCTTACTTTTCCTGAGGGTCCATAACTCTATGTATTAATACAAACATTGCATTGAGCTCTAAATGCTCTTGATTCAGAACAATTGTGGAATAAACCCTTTATAATTACGCATCTCCTAAGCAAGACCCATCATAATAGGCAGACTAAAATGGTGCTGCAAGCGTCTCCTGGATATCTGTGCTTGCTGCTGTTGCTCTCATCTTTTATTGAACAAAGAGAACAAAATCGGAATTTTGAGCACAGCTAACAAATTTTTGTGGCAAGGCTTTTCACGAGCATGCTTTAAAAATACACTGAGCTCATAACAGTCCTTGCCACAGGCCACTATCTCATCTGCTGACCTGCCACCACTCAGTAATATTTTTGCCTGTCAGAAATTTTTTTCTACATATAGCCTTATTGACTAAGAAACACTTAAATATTTCTCCTTCTGAGTAAGATGAAAAACCTAAAAACGAGGAAAGAAGCCACAACACTCAGTCTTTCCCCAACTTTTTAACAATTTTAAATTCACATACAAAATAGAACTGGTAGGCAGAGAAGCAAGTCATATAATTTAATAATCCTTGTGTTTCTGGTGGGCACACTCTTCCATGACTTTTCAGATGTATATTTCTGTCTATCCTTTTACAGAATAGCTATAAAGCAATAATGTATTGTAGAGAAGCCCAAGAACCAACGTAGCACCTCCTCTAAGGTGACATCTATAAGTTTTGCAACATACTTATCTGCTATCCTATTAGGACAATACTTCTTGCTCATTCTATCTTAATCCATGAAGACAAGCAATAGATGTCCGTTATTCCACTTTACATAATCCTTCCTACACCAGTG